ATCCAATTGGGCCTGAGTTCTCCAACTCATGAATCTCACCATTCCACAAGAAATAACAACGAAACAAACAAAGTTCAATTAGTTGTTTTATTTAAGTTAAAGTAAGTTTAGTTGAGTTTTTGTAAGAAACGCTTTTATTTAATTGATCTAAAACTGTTAAAGTTGCTTCTTTTAATGGTATTGATGGTATTAAATTTTCTTCTTTTAATGGTATTGATGGTATTAAAGTTGCTTCTTTTAATGGTATTGGTGGTATTAAAGTTGCTTCTTTTAATGGTATTGATTTGTAAGAATAGAACATGATAAAGCAATTGAAAAAATTAGGGAACATATTGGTCCAACAAATATTGTTAATTTACTAAAACCCTGTTACAGATTTTCATTGGTCAGTAAAGTAGTTTTTTATTTAATAAAACGTTTTTTTATCTATGTGTTTGCTATTTCTCTACCTGGGGCCGAGGGACCACACAGTAGCTACTTTTTTTATTTACTTGTATTGTGATTACAACCCTCTCTCAAATCTTTAACTTCAAAACACGTATTTTGCAAAACAAGGCCTACCACTAGGTTCTACCACGTCTCTCTTACTAGAAACGCGGTAGAACTAGAAACTTCTCGTTTACAAAGAGAGCGCTCTACTACTACACCATCTCCTCATTTAAACCGCACCAATACCACTTCATTTGTTCCACCATATTAATTTATTTTTTTCTAAAGGTACGGACTGTTAAACTGAGGCAATAGCATTCTTTTTTCAACTCGATGTTTATTTGGTCAACTTAGTGGATAACTTGAAATATTCAACCGCGCATGCTCCGTTGAAATATTTTTTCGGACATCAAACTGGATAAAATAGTCTTTTTTTTGCAATATGGCCGTAAATTCTATTATACATGACGAATATTTTTGCGAAAACAGAAAATACAGATATAGATCTACTTCTGACGAAATCAGAACTATTATTTCCTTTATAGATTTTAAGGTTTCAGAAAAATAGACCTATTATAGTCCATAAACTGCAAATAGCTACTGTCAACGGAAAACTTACGAGTTCAATTTTTATACTTGAATGTATAAAAAATACTTCTTTTTTCTCAGAACAAAGCTTAAAAAATCACTATCATTAACTACTATCATTAACTACTTTTCATTTAATATAATAATCATAACGATGAATCATATACTATAATCTAATAATCATAACGATGATTAGATTATAGAAAGTGTAATGCGAGTAAATATTTATACGATAAACAACGATGTTTTTTTCGGTTATGGAAAATGTCAGTAAATATTAAGGTAGTTAAAAAAGAGATTGAAAAGTCAAAATGAAATATAATAAAAATAGTAAAAAAAAAACAACTGTCAAATTAATAAATCTCCTATGTTTTAAATAAAAATTAATTTTTTAATGTTTAATCAGAACAATAAAATTAGTAGAGTTATCATTAAATGCATCAAACCATTTTTATATGAGTAAATAAAACTAGCACAAACTTATCCATATATAAAAAATATTTCCTACTTTATATAAAAAAGATTTGTATAGTTTATATATAATTATATAATACTTATATATTAAAAAAATTTGTATATTACTTATATATTAAAAAACATTAGATGAGCCTCAAAATTTCGAAAATTTGAACATTTTCAAAAGGTTCGACGTACAGAAAGCATCGATTAAAGAGCATATTTTTTTTGTTGGCCAATAAATCTATTTTCGATTTTTTTAAGCAAGTTGTTAAATTATTAAAGCTCTGTTTTATTATTATCATAAAAAATCGATTTTCATTTTTATTATGAATATTTCTTGAAACCAAAAAGAAGATTTCTTTTTTAAAATAAAAAAATAAAATCAATTATGTGAAATCAGCATATTTTAAAAACCTTTTTACAGAACGAACATACGAAACATACGGTTCCAACACACGTTTCAAATATTATTAGAGGCTTTAGATTAGAATCTTACTTTTGAATTATAAACTTTTTGCTATTTTTATTTTATTAATAGATTAATTGAACAACTGTTATCATGAATAATTTAGTTATTGTAAAAAAAATATTAAAAAAAAAAATCATCAAATAATAAAATTGACCGGTTTTCACAATAAATTTGAAAGAAGTTTAATAAAAGCAAGTAAACTAAACTCATTTTTAAAGAAGACGGTTTGTTGAGTAAGTCGGTGATATTCTTTAGTGAGTTCCAACCTTGTTTACCGACAACTCGCAAAAGACTCTATTAAGATGGCTCGCCATTAAATAAATGACAGTTTTTATTAAAACTTGGTTTTTTAGACTACTCTTTTTTTATATCAATTCAACAGAGCTGTATCATAGCAACATAGCTGTAAATCTATTTTGACTTAATTATAGTCTATCGTGAGTTATTTCTTTTTATTTAGGACTAATTATAAGATTTTATCTTGACAACTGTCCCTAGCAACACTAACTTTGGTTTGTAATTGCTTTCTCTCTTTGTCTTTGACTTAAGTTTTTTTTTCTCTTCAATCTTGTTTTAAAGGTTGAAGTGACTCAAAAAGTTTTTTGAGTCACTTCAACCTTTAGAGTGTTTTAAAACCACAATGTTTATATATTTTAAGGATCAAAAATGCATTATCAATATGAGCAAAAATGACAATTTATAAAGAAAATTGCAATTAAAAACCATTATTAAGGACAAAGTGAAGAACAACAACTAGAAACTTTACTCATTTGGTAAAAATCCAAATGATTTTCAAAATGAATGTTTATTCCATAAACGTTATTCATTAGGAAGTTTTTCATTTATTTTTTTCATTTATTTTTTTCATTATGTTTATTACTGTTTTTTAACTTTTGCTTTTTTGTGCAATTTCTAATTTTTGAAGATTCATAGCTTATAAATGACAGGTTGTTCTACATATATTGACAAAGGGCCTGAAAAAAAAACTGTTTTCAAAAACAAAGTACTTCATGAGTTATTAAATTTTTTCTGTTTCATTTTATCAGCTGACCCTCCAATTTTTGGTATTTTTCCAAAAAAAAATTAAAAAAATAAAACTTTTATTACGAGTTTTGGCAATAATTTTTGTTCAAGAGTGTGTTTCGTTCAATTTTATTTTATTTAATACGTTTCACTACATATGAAGCTCTAGTTTTTAGTGGTGTTTAGTATCATTTTTCAAAATTAGGTTTACAATTTTTCATTTTACAACCTTTTTAACATAATTTTTGCAATTTTTAGAAGAAGTTGTTGCAAAATAAAATTTTTTTCTCCTCTTTTTAAACATAATATACTCTAATACTTTATTTAATTAAATATAATAAAATTTCAGAGAGTTTTTTTATGTAGTTAGGAACCACCTTAAGTCTAGATGACAACTCTTCAAACTCAAGAAAAGCTTGAAGAAACACGCCCCTCTACCTTATTAAGATAACAGAAATTATTCTTGTCAAATTAATTCAAATGACATGAGCAAAATCCATGATCTCAAATCTTTATTTTGACGGTTTTTAGTTTTTCAAGTTTCAAAAAATGACGAAAATTAAATAAAGAATTGCGTAGTGAATTTAACTTTAGATTATGCGGCTTTAATATTCAAATTTAATAATCAAAATATCTTAAAATGTTTTGTTACCAGATCCTGTTTGACTGATAGCTCTAGTTTACTACTACGCCGTGATATTAGGTTATGCAAGTCTTTTTTTGTGCTTTAATGTCTATGCTATGCAATCCTGTCTTAAAAAATAGTGGTAATATATTTGTTTATTTGTTTGTTTGATTATTTTAATAAACTTTAATGTAACTTGATTTTACTTCTGCAAACATTCTAAATAAATTAAAAAAAAAAAACTATTTTTTTTTAAATATGCATGGTAGAAAGCTAAGGAAATGTTGTGATACCACAAAAATGATTTGCATCCATTCTTAGTGAAACTTATTTGTTCACAATTAACAGAAAATAGTCTTAAGAAACTCACTGAGGAATTTAATTTCAACCAATCATTTTTAATTTGGTTTAGTTTTAATCCAACTAAATTATTTAGTGGTGAAAAGTGATAAAAAAAAAACAAACAAACAAAAAAACTAGCTTAGTATATAAAACATGAAAAAATGAGTTTTGTATGAAACTTTACATTAAATTTTGAGCTAAAATATTACTAGTTATAAATATAAATATAAAGTTTGTGTAATCAACTTTTAACATACAGTAAATGGTTTATAAAATAATTGTTTGAATTGAATGGAAGAAACGTCTTCACATTTTAGAAAATGATATCTTTACTGAGCATTATTTGATAAAAGTTAAAATAAAAATTTACGCAAGTAAATTATATCGACGTAAATATCAAAAAAAAAATTTACGCAAGTAAACTACATCAAAGTAAATATCAAAATAAAAGATTAGTTAATGGTAATTTTCAAGAGCTTTTTTTTTATAAAAAAATGTGACGTCATATAATAATTTGAAGTTTTATAATAATTCTCGTGTAATAATTTAGAGCTTTTGTAATGAACAAAAAAATACAATGCTTTTTCTTTTTTTAAAACCCAGAAAATGCATTTTAGTCAGTATTGCTATTTTCTTTTCTCTCCTTTAAAAAGTACAAGTTTTTATAATTACACATTAAAATTAAAGAATAGTTCAAAAGGTATTATAAAATTAACTTTAGTTTCTAATTTATACTATTAACTTAAGTTCCTCATTCTTTGTTATTTAATATTAAATATTAGGCAATAAGGTTTCTTTTTTTCCTTGCAGTCGATTTTTAACAAGTTTTTTCTAAGCTAAAAAAAATCTAGTCATGCCACTGCATTCTGTTTAAACATTATAAATACTTTTTTTATAAACTCTTTTTTTATAAACTCTTATAAACTATGTTATTTTTAAGTAAATTTACTTATTTTGATTAATTAAAGTAAAGAACTTACAATATTCTTCTTCTATTTTGTACACAAATTTGTTTAAAATGATATAAGATGCAACTGATTCGAAACTATTGTTTTCTTAATTTAGGGACTCGTACTCGCGTATAACAAAAAATGGCAACACATGAAACCCGCAAAATCTGAAACTCACAACATCTGAATTTCGCAACATCTGAATTTCGCAACATCTATCCTATTTAATACTTAATTGTTTAAAATGGCGCTGATTGATAACAGCGAAACACAGAGTTCTGAAAGTATTATCACTATTAAATTGATATATTTATTTATTTGTTTTTTGCTTGGTGTAGTAGGCAACTTGTTTGTTATCATTTCAATTAGAAAATATAAAAAATTGCAAACAATTACAAACTTTTTTGTTTTAAACCTTGCAATTTCGGATTTACTATATTCTTTATGTGGTGTACCTGTTATCTTTATTACCACCGTTGCAAAAAAGTGGCTGCTGGGAAACTTCCTGTGTGATGCAATCGGATTTTTGAACACACTTTTATTAACGACATCAATTTGGACTCTTGTTATGATTAGTATCAACCGATATATAAATGTTGCAAAACCAAACGAAGTAAAAAACCTTTACACAAATAAAAGAACAACTTTAATTATAATTGGTGTTTGGATATTTTCAGCGTTAATTTCCATTCCACCTCTGTTTGGTTGGAGCGAGTTTAAGTCTGGTTCTAACTTTTGTACAATTAATGGGAAAAAGTCAAAATCTTATTCTTTATTCCTGGTTTTACTTGTTTACCTAGTGCCACTGGGCTTTTTATGTGGTTTATATTTGCAAATATTTTTTCTATTAAATAAGCACAAAAAAATACAAACAAGGAGCAACCTCGACCCTATTTGTAACTCTGAGCATCTAGAAAAGCAATTAACATTTGGAAATGTTGTTTTTTCATCAATACCTAATCCGGTGCATACAGTACATTGCTCAAACAATAATAAAAGTGCAAAGATATATTTATTGCCTGAAGCATCTCCACCCATAAAAAGTAAAAAAACTTTAAACAGAAAAAATTGTTTAATTTTACAAAGTAGAAATGCAAAAGAGAATCTACAAAAACTTGCAATCAAAAAGCATTTCAAACAAGTTCGAATAACAAAAATGCTTATGGTTCTCGTACTGAGTTTCTTTTTATGTTGGACACCCCTCATTTTAGGATCATTGTTATATTCTTTTACTATAAACTTGAAAGGTTTTCAAATGATGACTTTTGGAATAATGTGCTGCACTTTAAACTGTATACTCAACCCGTTTATTTACTCTGCAATGAACAGCAGCTTTAGGAAATGTTTTTTTCAAATGTGGACTACCATTTTTAAATATATAAAATGTAAATAGACAAATATATAGAATTAAATAAAAACATTGATAAATGATGAAAATTTGATTTGATCATAATATTGATGTTGAAAATCTTATGTTTATTAGACCTGACTTAAAATTTAACCAACAATAGTTGTATTTTCCTTTTACATGTTTTAGGGATTTTATGCTTTTCCTTTATTTGAGGGATTTTATGCTTTCGCCTTATTTGAGGTTAATAAAACTGCACACAGTTGTGGAGAATATAAACAATATCCAGGAACTGAAAGCTCTAAAAACTATTACATGTGAAAGAACTAGAAGCAGTAAAATTTCTAATTTAGAATTTTAAATTTAGTATCCGCTTCATAATTTGTTTGTTTTATAATTTATTTAAAAATTATATACTTCAATAAAACAATATTTACATGCCTCTAGTTTATATAATATATGTACAGACTGCTTCATTTTGTGGTCATGAAAAAATTTAAAGTGCCATTGAGTCTTATCTGCTGGGCAGACCCATCATTTTTTAGTAGACTTTTCTCTTTTATTTTAAATTTTGAGATTGCTGCTTTTGAGTGCCACAAAAGTCATTATTTAGACTTTTTAGCCTTTTTAGCCCATTTTTTGCACATTTGTACAAGTTCTAAAAGTTAAAAAAATAATTTTTTTTTTCATTCTAAAGTTTTTTTTAGTAAGAAGAACCAAATAAAAATCTATGGTAACTTTAATTATTATAAATATTGTATCGAAATCTGTCTAAATTGCAAATTTATGCGATTTTTTCTAAATTTGCGCATTATGGTAACTTTTCAGATATTGTTCAAGTCTTTTGAAAGAAGCGCCACATATATCTTGCATAAAACATATATCTTGCATAAAATTCTCAATTTACTTTAGGTGTTTTTATTGACTTGGCGAAAGCTTTTGATACTATAGATCACGAAATTCTTTTTAAAAAGTTGGAGTGGTACGGAGTTACTGGAAAAATATTAATTTGGCTAAAAAGTTACCTAAATAATCGAAAACAATTTGTTTATGCGAATGATAACGTATCATCTAGTTTGTTAAATATTTCATGTGGAGTTCCTCAAGGATCCATATTAGGACCTCTCCTATTTTTAATATATATTAATGATCTACCAAAAGCTTCTAACCTAATGACAATTATGTTTGCTGATGATTCTAACCTATTTCTTTCTCATAATAACATTTTTACACTTTTTAGCAATATGAACATTGAACTAGTCAAAATTTCCGAATGGTTTAGATTAAACAAACTATCACTAAATATTGATAAAACTAAATGGATTCTTTTTCATCGTTATGGTAAAAAGCACCAGCTGCCTAGCAACTTACCTTTTCTATTTATCGATAACATAGTTATTAATAGAGTTTTAGTGACAAGATTTTTAGGTGTATATATCGATGAAAATCTTACATGGAAATGCCACATTGCTAACTTGTGCAGTAAAATTTCAAAGAGTATAGGCATTTTATACAAAATAAGAAACGTTCTTGATAAAAATATCTTAATTCAATTATATTATTCGTTAATTCATTGCCATATCAACTATGCAAACATTGCTTGGGGTAGCACTTATAAAAGTAAACTTAAACCTCTCTATCGGCAACAGAAGCATGTAGCACGCCTTATAAATTTCAAGGACCGTTTTGCTCACGCCAAGCCTCTTTTATATGATATGAAAGCACTCAATATATATGAGTTAAATGTTTTTAATATTCTTTGTTTTATGTATAAATGCAAGACCAACCTATCACCCGTTTCTTTTCGTAACTTGTATTTACAAAGAGATAGAAATAAATATATTCTAAGGAACGATAACTTAATTCGACAACCATTTTCTCAAACTAATTTTGGAAATTTTTTTATTTCATTTCGCGGACCATTTTTATGGAATAGTATAGTTCTAAATACTTCTAAAGATTTTTCTCAAGAATGTAATTTTGATTCTTTTAAACAAAATCTTAAAAAACTCATTTTTTCAACTGAAAATATACTAATCTACTTTTAAATTTTTGAAAATCACTTGTCTATATTAGTATATGAATATATTTAATGTACATTCTTTTTTATTTATTTATTTTTTTATCAACAAGCAATTATTTAACATGTTTTATTTTAGTGAATTATTTAACATGTTTTAGTTTTTAAGTTTTAGAACTCTTCTATTGTAATATTGTATGTTTATTTATAATATTATATTACGAACTTTATATACTTTTATTAATAAATTTAATTTTGTAATAAAAAGAAACTGAACAAAAATAAATAAATACAAAAAAATGAAAACATTGAAAAAAAAATAATAATAATAATAAAAAAAAAAAAATAAAATAAAAAAAAAAAAAAAAACGTTCAAAAGCGGTTTCTCTGTGACAAGACCTGATGGTCTTCTTTGAGTATCCGCGTTCTTTATATTTATTAATATTCTTTATATTATTATATTATTCTTAACGATATCTTGACTTGTTACCTTTTCTTTTTTTATTTTTTATATTATTTGTATCTGTATCATAAATATTGTAATAAAGAACAAAAAAAAAAAAAAAAAAAAAAAAAAACATCTAGCAAATCTATAAAATAACTTCTCGTTAATTTATTATTTAAAAAAAATTTTCTTCATATTTTTTTATTGTTTTTTTGTTTTTCTTAGTACTTTTTCCATCATTCTTCATCTTCTTTCATCATTCTTGCTTTTGTATTTACTCAAGAATAAAAACAAAATATGTCTCTTCATTTCTAGCAACACCAATGTTGAACTTTATAATCTTAAGAATTTTTTTAACTTACCTTTTCATTTTAGGTTCTAAAATACTCCAGTAATTCCTTATGGTCTTATTATAATGCAACGTGGAGGAGCATTTAACAGGAAATTCACATCTCTTTTCTTACTGATGTAATAAAACTTGCCTAAAGTTGGTTTTAAAACTCGAATATTTTTCTTCTGAGTCAAACGCTATACCTTAAACCTGTAATTCTTTCAGAGCAATGGTTTACACCATAAAGATGAAAAACAATTGCAATATTTGGATGCAGATTGAATGAGTTCAACTATTGACAGCCATTTTTACTTTGAGTTATCATAAAAAACAAGAGCCACAAATTTTTTGTAATTAGCTTAACTAAGCTTGGCAGCCACTGAAATCTAAAAAATTAAAGACATGTTTTGAGATTTATGTTTGCTCTCATTTAGGCTGATGGATAATTTCCCATAGTTTTTAATCAATTTTAACTCTTTTTTTACATTTTTCATCAGCTTGGGCTTGCACAACACAATAGGGTCCAGAAACTATGTGTGTCGTTTGATAAATTTAAAGACTGATTCTTCTATAATCTGAATTTACTTGTTACACCTATTCATTTGCCAAAGAGCTCTCATATCCTATCTCTCATATCCTTATCTTATTCTCATATCCTTATCTTATCTCACATATCCTTATCTTATCTTTCATATCTTTATCTTATCTTTCATATCCTTATCTTATCACTCATATCCTTATCTTATCTCTCATATTTTTATCTTATCTCTCATATCCTTATCTTATCTCTTATATCCTTATCTCATTTCTCATATTCTTATCTCTCATATCTTGGATGAAACAAAAAACTTTGAAGTTCTTTGTTTCGAAAAAAATATATTTTAGCTGCTTTATTAATTATCAAAATAATTTTTATACTGAAACCTTTGTATACTATATTTATGCATTTCATAATAGTTAAGTTAATATTTTCCCGAAATGGAGCAATAGAGGCTAATTCAACTTTGAGAAACCAGTAGTTTCGAAGACAGCCACAAAATCTGCCACTTTAGTAATTTCCTGTATTAGTTGTTCTGTAAGAATGACTATTTCGCCCATAAAAAGTTGGAGCTTAGGTAGTAGATACCAAAAAAATTTATTATATATACTTATTTATAAAAAATCTAAATATTTGTTAATGTGAACAAATCCCTTCCATTTGCCATGAAGCTGACACTCCTCCATGGACGGCCAGGGAATACAAATTTGTACTCACCACAAAAGTCTAAGCTTAACGTAGTACTTCCTTGTAATCCCACCCAAAAAATGAAAGTAAATCAGAATATATTGGTATAATTAAATATACGTTGGTATGTATATTTTTTGTGTAAGAAAGCGTAAGAAAATATTCTTAATTTCACAAAAAATACACATACCTATGTACATTTAGTATGTACTATGTACTATTTAGCGACTACTATAGAATCAAGCAATCACCAAGTTCTATAGAATTTACTGATTGCTAGAAAACAAGAAAAAATCTTTTTTGCTACATATTACATAGGTTATTACCAACTACATATTACATTGGTTATTACCAACGAATTCAGATCTTGAGTTATTGGGATACTTTTTTTTTAAGTTTTCTCAGGAATCCTCAATTTTCTTAACACTGTTTTACTCAAAATTTAAAAGAAATATAAAATACGAAAAGGGTAAAAAAGTGGAAGAAATGTGTTAAGGAAAAAATAGCGTTTTACAAAAATGGTAACCAATTAAATAAAACACATGATTCTTTTCATCAAGATCATTCTATGCTAATTTTAAATCAATATCATTCTATGCTGATCACGCATAGTTTCTAGACTCTATCTTACTGTGCTATATCACAATATTGTAATATAACCCTAGCTGATGAAAAATATGAAGAAAAATGTCAAACTGTTCAAAAACTATAACTATGAATTACGCAACATGGAAGAATATCCATCAGCCCTAATGAGAGAGCAAATGCAGAGATTCTTAATTCTTTAGATTTCAGAGGATTAAAGACGCTAAATTTAGTTCAATTAGTCACATAAAATCTGTGGCTCCTGATTCTTGTAATAGATCAAAGTGAACGTGACTGTCAATGAACCCCTCCCCTTTGAATATTGCGCTAGCGAGGATTTCTAAAATTTCAGGATGCTCTTTCTCACCTTGCTTTTGTTAATCATAACTCAAAAAGAAGTGTTAAGCTCATAAAGAAAAAAATTGTTAGAAATGAAGAGTAGAGACAGCTTTTCCTTTTATTCTTAAAAACTACAAAAGCAGTTAGGATATGCAATAGAGGAAAATTTTTTTCTCCATTTGGTGTTCTTGCTTAGCAAGAACACCAAGAAAAACAAAAAAAACACACACAAAAAAAAACAGAAAAAAAAAAAAAATAATAAATATAACAAAATATATTTAAAAAAAAAATAACTTTGTTGTATGAATTCGCTTGACATTTTATGCTACATGCATAAGTGGTCCTTCTTGCAAAAATATTAATAAAAATCTGAAAATTAAACGTAATGCACAATAATTAAAAAAAATTGCATAAAGTTTATTT